GGATTACAGGCATGCGCAACCATGCCCAGCTAATGTTTTGTATTTTTAGTAGAGATGGGGTTTCACCATGTTGACCAGGATGGTCTCGATCTCTTGACTTCGTGATCCACCCGCCTCGGCCTCCCAAAGTGCTGGGATTACAGGCTTGAGCCACCGCGCCCGGCCTATGTCACATGTTTTTTACTGCACACACCCGAAGTGACCAACCAGAACAGCCCTGTCAAGGGACCTCATGCAAAGACTCCTGGTCAGAAGCGCTGCATGGCAGCAGCCACCGTGGGTGACTCTCATCTATAAATGAGCAGAATGCTTTACAGCAGCCCAGTAAAGAGCACGGGCCCAGTCCAGAGTCGATCTGCGTTGTCTGGGCATCTAATGCCTGCCTGAGTCTCCCCACCTGCTGCTGTTGACCCCATGCGGAGGCAGGAGGGGCCTCGCATGGCTCACCATCACAATCTGGGTGCCTGGGCGCAAAGCCATCTGGTCCGCCGCCGAGCCCGGGGTGACCCGGTGGATGAAGATGCCTGTGAAGTTCCCACCGATGACGCTGATTTGCTCCAGCAATGCATCCCCCTGGAACGCCAGCACCGTGACCTGGCTCAGGATCCTGCGGGCCAGCCTCCGCCTCATGAGCATGCTGCTGCAGGTGGGGAGATGACCAGCTTGTGCACTGCCCAGAGCAGGAGAGCCGGCAAGGCCACCTCCCCATTGCTTCCTACTAGCCCCAGTGTTCCGGAATTCTCCTGCTGCATGGCCCCAAGCACTTGGAAAGGCTGTCGCCTCCCAGTGGTGATAGGACAATCGCCCTCTGCTCTGCCACTCCCTGGCCCTGGTTCCCAGCCAGCCTCGGAGGGTTCCCACCTGCTGCTTACCTCTCTGAGACATCCAGGCTTCCAGCGGAGAATGGCTGCAGGCTGCTTTCCAGCTGGGGAAGGTCTGGGAAGAAGCAAGAGCTTACAGATCTTGGTCACCCCACTGCTGACGGGGCTTCCTGTAACCTGCTGTGACCTCGCTCCCTTCTCCCTCAGCCTCAGGCCCCCACCCCGCCACCTGTTCCATCCTCTTTGCTGAGGCTGAGCTTTCTCTTCCTCCACCCCTTCCTCAATGCTTGGGACCCTGATTTCATTTTCCTAAAATCACTGTAACTAGTGGGAGCTGTAACTGGGAGGGTCTGAACACCACATACTATTTTCTGATATTTGGATGAGTTGCCAACATTTAAAAGATAGGGAGATTTCACCTTAAATCTGGATTTCTGGCTTCACTTGAAAAAAAATCTGCTGTAACCCTGGGGCTGCCTTTCTGCAATGATCTGCATTTCTGCATGGACCTGCGTTTCTGCATGGGCCTGCATTTCTGCACCACCTGCATTTCTGCACAGACCTGCATTTCTGCACGGACCTGCATTTCTACACTGCCTGCATTTCTGCACGGGCCTG